AAAATTGCGGGTCGGATTGTTTACATGCAAAACCTTCATATCCGCACGATACAGGTTCCGCAGATTAGGGATATAATTAAAAACGATAAATAACACCACTTATGCCATAATTGACCACTTAATGTACATAATCTCGCTAAAAACTACTACTAACGTTGATTTCGGGAGGGAAACGTGGATTAAAAATTACTTGAAAGATTATTCTTAGTTTTATGTGGGTGGTTCCGCTTTAATTGACCGTTCAGTATTGGTGGAAGATAAAATGTAATACAAACAGGATTCAGAACTCAGTTAAGGGTGACCTTGATGGAATTGACCACTTGATAAAGGTGAAAATTACATTAATTAAGGGGAGACAAATTTGGAACTTTGACAATCGATCGCTTTAATTATTACAGGATGACCGCTAAAACGGTGCGGCTTAATACAGTTTTGACTCTATTCAGAATTGCAGCGGTCATGAATTAGAAAAGTAAGCACTTTCTTGATCAAAAGGCGTCCTGGTGTTCCTCATAAATAGAAAGAAAGTCTTCAGGCAGTGAGGTTTGCAAACAAAGAGGCTTAAATTTTGTTTTCAGAACTCAATGGAATTTGAACACGAGCCATAGGAAACGAAGTCTTTTTTAATAATGATCATGACAAAATGAAAACAAAACAACCAAAAAAAAAAAGACAGAATGATAATACAAAAAAAAAAAAAACAAAACAGAAAAACCAGGCGGTTTTGTTCATGTTGGATAACGGTCCTAATTAAACAACAAGGTATTCTCTGTTGCATGTCACCTAGGATGCTTAAATTACCAGCCGGCTGAAAATATAATTGACATAACCACAGTGGTTTTATGAACATAACAATGTTTGTTTTTTAGAATCCTTGTACCGAGCAAACCTGTTCCAGCCATGGAATATGTTCACCAATTTCGCTCAGAGACAGAACCCATAAGTGCGTTTGTTACCCGGGTTATCGCGGCAGTAATTGTGAAACCGGTGTGTAACTTTTAAGATTTTTTGTTGCTTTTCAATTGAATTGATTAAGCTATGATACGATACTGATAACAACAATTGATCTGAATAATGGATCACCGATTAGTCTAAGTAGTTATATTTTGTGTGATGAGAGCCAAATCTCATTCCATCCCTTTAAAAGGGCGTTCAATCGATCCCTCTCCCTGCCCTTTGGTTCCCACTGCTTCATTGGCCACAGTTCTGGCTCTAACACTGGTACGAGAAGTTCGAGAACGTATTTAACTCCTTTTAGGTCTTCGCTACGTCTTAAAATCTTTAGGAGCTCCACAGCATGATGCATATATGATATTCGGTGCTGGTGCAACAGTCACACGAACGACGTTTGTGGAGTTTTCAAAGAAAATTGTACCTAAGGAAACACCGTGCTAAAGGAAGTCAGGTGATCTAAAGTAACCATATGATGCTTTTTGGAACTTTAATTTTCATCAAGTCTTCCCCCAAATTAATAAAAGATGGTAGCTGAACCGCTGGGTGGGGTGAGATTTGGTCTGAAATGATATGCGTGATTTTGTACTGGTAATCGTATGATTTTGTGTGCAATTGGGGATAAATCAGCGCGCGTAAATTTTTTCAAAGACTAAAGCCATTTATCGCCGTTAATTTTTGGAATCCTCAGACTTCCAGACTTTTATTCAGTTCTTTGTGCTTTGTTGGGTGTTTCTGTTCCTCTCGTTCTCCCTAAAACTCTGAATTAGAACGTTGCTACTGTCTCCGAATCAGTCCGCCATTTTTTGTTGTTGTACTTTCGTGACATACCCGTCAATTAATTTAATTTCAATTTTCTGCACTTTCTGGGATTAGTCGAGGTGTTCTCGACCATTGAGCATGCTGAAATTTTTATATATTTATATTATTATTACTCTGACTATATATTTTTTACAGTCCTAGTGGGTTGCACCAATTACACTGTGCTGAGTGAACCCGATCGCCATACATCGTATGGAAGAGGAGGCAACTCGGACGCATCTCTCGTACCTGGCTGGTACAGATTTCAGTCTGGTTCATACACTAAAATGCTGGACTACTGCGTCAGCCATCACAGATGTCGTACAGACATAACAGGCTGGTTAAACGGGCTTCATCCATCTCTCGAGGAAGGCATTGTTAACAGACAGGCGTGCTTTCACGGGTTTTATAATTGTTGTTACAGACGAGTTCAAATTCAAGTGAGAAGCTGTGAAGGGTTTTATGTTTATTACCTTAATCCATCACCAGCAGGAAGTTTTCGCTATTGTGCAATTGCTTAGGGTAGACTTATAGCTAAGGAACAACAACTGCAGTCAGTGCCACTTTTCTTTCATTTGTATGTTCAGTTCACCGTTCTATTTCAATAGCTTAGCTAGTTTCGTACCCAGACGTTTCACGGTCGAGCAGTAGTAACATTTCAGTTGCAGTTACGCGGTAGGATCTGGGTACGAGATTATAGTTAAGCTATGATATATTATGGTTTATAAGACCAGAACAAGGACAAAACTACTCTCGATGTAATAGAAGGGAACCAGGATGAGAGCATTTTCAATTTGCTGACGCCTCAGCCTGACACGAGTAGGTTTCGTCTTAATTCGAATTTCTAGAAGCATTCGTCTGAGTTCTCGTTCACCGATCACATGACATCACAACAATTATGACAGAAACATAATAGACCGGTCCTTATTGAGAAGGGGTAGGCTTCGGAAGATCTTGGCTGTGACGTAATGAAATTTACCTGATCCCCACCACAACATTGTACTATTTCAATTATTCCCGCCCCCCGAAATCGTTCATTAATTAATCTCATGTCCCCCTCCCCCTTACCCTCTCATTGGCATTAAGCTTTCTATTGTCTTATCAGATCAATATCAGTATCTGGGCAACTACCCATCTACCCCTCCCCTAACCCAACATTAACCCTAACTTGTCATCAATGGACTGTTGTTCGGTTAGGGGAGGGGTAGGTGGGCAGTTGCCCAGATACTGATATTGATCCGCCTTCCCTTTATACTCTGTCGGCGAATAAGAACTTCTAATTCTTGCGAAGACTGATCCTCCCCGATCCCTCTGAAAACCACGTGATCCCTCCCAAAATCCTCTTACCACCGCCCAGGGGATAAATTTGGACTGGTCCTAGTACTTAGCAGGACAACAAGTGGCTACCTTGTTTGATCGAAATAGCATTGGGTAAGGTTAACGTTAGAAAGAGAGTGATACTTTCGTTAATCATTGAGGAGAGCCTTATGTAACACATGTAGTTGTAGGCTTAACCACAAGTTGCCGATAAATTCTTAAAAAGTTGCCGATGAAAATGTCTAAAGTTGCTAAAAAGTTGTTATTTTTTTTCCCCAAAGATGCCAAAAAGTTGCTGAAATGTAACTGTTTTTTCTTCACTGGTTTGAGCTTAAAGTTGATTTTTTCGCGGTTTTGATCCCTGACACAATAACTTTGTTTCCTAAAAAAATTCTGTTTTTTAAATTGAACACAAATTCCACAGAATATATTGGAGTGTGTCTCATATGTGAATAATCCACTTTTAGCGAGATACTAAGGGTTTGCGACCAGCTACGACATGCCACGTGATACCACTTACCTCGTGGATAGGCATTTAATGAAAAAAACCCTACCCCTGAGGTCCCCAGATAGTGTAAACCAGCTGAGTGACAGGTGAGCTTCCTTTCGGAAGCTAATAAACGTGGCAAAAAAGTAAAAAATGATCTTTAAAATGCTAAAAAAAATCAGCAGTTGCCGAGAATCCTAGAAGTTGCCAAAAAGTTGCAAATCTCGACCAACTTGTGGCTAAGCCTATGTAGTTGTGGAAAATGTGATTAAAATGTCAATAATAGACATCGTGATAATAAACTTTTTTTTTACTCTCTCAATTCTTGTCGACTCCATCAAACTCTTCTACTTACACGCCATTGCCAGTGGTTTCTAAATAAAGTGTTACAAGCAATCCTGCATAAAACATTAAGAACAGAACGACTAGTTACAACATTGGAAATGACATGGGAATAACAAGGGAAAGTGTAACGATATTTCGTGTAAACTAAATGAAAAATAAGGATATTTCGTTTGTATATAAATGAAGTATTTAGCGTGTTCGAGCTGTCTGATTAAAATTAGGTCGAGTGTAATTGTATGATTACTGCTCGTCATTTCTTGTGGCCTGCTTGTATTTCTCCGAGCATCAAGAAACGATGCAATAGGAAATACGAGACACTCGATGAAAGGGTCATTTACCCAACGATTCAGGAATGTGGCTAGCACAAGAACGTACTCGAGATAGCTTGTTAACTCGACTCACCTTTCTATTTGCATGATCGGCGTGAAGGTCAAACTCTTGTAGATAGCCGCGCGGACCGTGGTTAGGCGGTGGCTTGATGTCTACACTTTCGAGAAATTCAGTTTTTCAGTTCCCTGATTCATTTTCATTCCATTAAACCCGATTTAAACTCAACATGCCTTCTGGTGTGAATGGGGTATTAGTTTCGATCCCAGAAAAAACAAAATAACAAAGGAACTGCGGTCTCCTCTCCGTGTACGTATTTGTCATATTGACCAGCTTGAATCATTTTTAAAGTAATTAACAAAAGAACTTTGCGCCCCGTAAAAATCAAAAGTTTGGAGCCACTTATAACATCTTCCCTGAGCTGTGATGAGAAACTTGGTACTCCTGTGGACTTTGACACACTAGACAAAGAAATCAATATTAGGGGAGGGGTGACTGGCTGGAATATGATTTGTACTTTCTGTCAACCAAAATGGCGGACAGCCGATTATGTTCGCTTTCGTGCGAGAAATAACACATTTTGAAGGGTTTGCTGAAGGGAATCTACTTTGAGTACTTTTAAATAAAAAAAGAAGCTTTTTAATCGCGGAAGTGTAAAATATTTTTTCTTAGAAACGACGTTTTCCTGGAATCATCACAGTGTTGCTTTCTGAGAAGTGATGGACGTCGTCTGATTGGCCTTCTTGTGGAGTATACGTCATGGTTATTCCCGAGGAAGAAACGCAGAGTAAGCATAAATTCTTTATTTACGTTGGAAGGCCTTAAAGTGAAAGGAAGTTGTCTTGAATACATTCTATGTCGAAGTTTCTTATGTAGTGCTATCTATTACGGAGCGAGTAATTCAAAATGTCTTCCCCAGGACAAGGGAAAGGAAAAAATAAACGCAAAGGTAAGGGACGTGGAAGAGGACGAGGAAGAGGACAAGATTTACCATCTAACCCTGGCAGGACTGAACATGTTGGGAAGGCTCCTGAGGCGGATAGGAAAACAACCGAGGAGGAGCCAGGTTGTATAAATCGTACGGATTCAACAGCTGATTTTGATGAGAAACCTGCCACTGGTGCGTGCGGTAATTCGACAAATGGTACCGTTGTTGATAAAGTAGGACAGGAGGAAAGCTTCCCCTCTACCAGCGGAGAGACGACAACAGTTGAGGAACACAGTCAAAGGGGAAGTTCTTCGGGTGAAACACCATCAAAGTCTAAAAAGACCAAAGGAAAACAACGCGGTACACAATCAAGTCCTCCTGACGATAAAGGCAAAGGTACATTTAGTCAAACTGCAGTTTGCTGATTTTCTGAGAAGGAATGTTGAGTGCATTTAATAACAACATGTATTTAGAACGACAGCCCTTTCTTTTCTGTGAGAAGCTTTTTTGCCAAAAATTCGAGGCATTAATAGCATTGGGATGTAAAGAAAAAAATAACATTTCCCGAAGGAAAAAAAACTAAAATATTAAACTTTGATTGAGATCAGATATACTCTGATCGACCACAGACCCTCTTGTATTAGAGGGAGGGCAGTTAAAAAAAAGCGAAAAAATAGGATGAAAGAAAGAAAAAAATTGTCTATGAATGGTTTCAGGTGAACTTTTAGAAATACTGTGTTATGAATGTTCTTTTGCTGTCTTATGATCTGGCGGAACTCAATTTCATGTAAGGAACTAAGTTAATCTCAACCAGTAGATTGAATTTATTTTCTATTTAATCAAAGCTTCCACTTTGCCTCCGGGTGCAGCAGCAGCTGATGCTTCGTCGACAAAAACTGTTGGTGGTACCACCCCATCTTCAGCTGCTGTTACAAGCAGTACAGCGGCAGTGGACAGAGAAGTTGAAGATGTGACTAAAAAGCTAGGTTCTTCTCTGGGAAGTGGAGGTACAATAAAAGCCTTTAACTCTTTTTTTTCGTTATTTTTTATTGTGGTACAATAACAACACTACAATGCAGCAAAGAACTTAGTTTACATTACATTACAATGTGAAGAAAAAGGAAAGAATATATAACACTAATGAGAAAATAAAAAGGGTACTGACAACACAAATTAAGCATGGAAATAAATGCAAAAAGGAGTGGGTGTCTTCAGTGCCACAAATTATTTTTAACAGTGTTTCAATACTCTTTTATTATATACAATTTTCAGTAACAAGTTGTGTAGAGGAACTTATCTATGTTAAAATATTTTTAAAGATTCTGATGATAAGACTTCATCTACTGTGTTGGGGGCCTGGAAAGTGGCAGAAAGAAGACAGCACTCTTATTTTCAAAATCGCACAAAATGGCTCCCCAGCAGCTACCATGACAGTTGAATATTGTTCTAAATATTTCTTTGAATTAGGATTTTTATTTCTAGTCCAAGTATCAAAAAA